CAAGATCGAAGATGAGGAATGCTTACAGTATATAATTGTTGCTTTGAAAGATGCTGCGCTTCAGTAGTATTTGAATAGAGTTCAAAGTCATAAAAGAAATAAACCCTTTGAAGATTGGGGAGAATTTTCTAATGAAATAAAATTGGCGTTCCAACCCCCACAACACCAGCAGTATCTGAGAAGACAATTGAGGAATATTAGACAAACCTCCACGGTGCAGGATTATGCATCAAGATTTAGAAATATCTTGAGTCAAATTGAACGAATGGATGAAGCAGATAAAATCCTTAATTTTGTGGAAGGTTTGAAACCAGCAACCAAAGCTGAAATTAGTTATAAGGCACCCGAAAGCCTTGAAGATGCAATTTGTCTGGCAATGACGTACAACATTGTGATGTATGGCACTGGAGGATTAGGACATCAAATTCCTGGAGAGTCCAGAAATAATAGCCCTAAAGTAAGTGGGTCAGGAAATGTTGGGATAACACCAATGGAACTTGATAGAACGGAAGTAAGGAAATTTCAAGGGAGTAAGAGAAATGCTAATAAAACTGCAAGAAAAATAAATAAAAAAGAGTTTAAACAAAATAGGTTGTGTTTCAGGTGTGGACAGAAAGGACATATAGCTAAAATGTGCCCCAGCAACTCTAATAAAACCAACCCAACCCCTGGAACTTCATCAGGGTCAAATACCAATGTCAAACAAGTTAGTTTAATAGAACCGGAATTTGGAAACGAAAAGAAGGAATGACTTCTACGAGTAAAAGGAAAAATTTGTGAAAAGGATGCCCTTATCCTTATTTTGATAGACTCAGGAGCATCCAAGGATTTTATTGATTCTCAATTTGTGGAAGAATATCAATTAATGATTAATGAAGATTCTGAAAGGAAGTTAATCATAGAACTGGCTGATGGAACCTCCTGCGAATCACGTGGTCACATATCAGATGTAAAAATTCAAATGTACTTTTGGAAAGAAAGTAGATCCAGGATGGAAGTCTTACCACTACAAAAATATGACGCCATCTTAGAGAAGCCGTGGTTGTACGATTACAACCCAAGAATTAATTGGAGAACAAATAAAATCTCAATAAAGAGAGATCAAAAAGTTTATAGAATCAGCGCCAAAAAGGGCAGAAAACAAGTAAAGCCCCTCGCGATAATGGTTTCATGACAACAATTAGCTAAGGAGGCCAAACAAAATGCAGAATTATTTGTAGTGTTGGCTTCAAATGCATCGGAAATAAAAAGAGAAGTGGAATCAAATATTCCCGAATTTTTAAAATCAGTGGTGGATAGTTATCGAAATGTCTTTATAGAAGAATTACTAAATAAGTTACCTCCAAGACGAAATATAGATCATGAGATTCCCCTTCAAGAAGGTGTAGCACCCTCATTTGGGCCCATCTATAGTTTGTCATTTCATGAGTTGAAGGAGTTAAAGAAACAACTTGAGAAAAACATTGAAAAAGGAATAATTCACCCGAGTTCATCCCTGTATGGAGCCTCTGTACTTTTCGTAGCCAAAAAAGAAGGTTCCCTTCAGATGTGTATAGATTATAGGACGCTGAATAAAGTTACAATTAAAAACTGATATCTCTTTCCACGTATGGACGAATTATTAGACCAGCTTACTGATGCCAAAATTTTTAGTAAAATTAATTTACGCTCCGGATACCACCAAATATGTATCAAGGAAGAAGACGTTCCAAAAATGGCATTTTGTACACTTTATGGCCATTATGAATTTCTTGTAATGCCGTTTGGTTTGACAAACGCACCAGCGTCCTTTATGCATTTGATGAATGATGTATTTCGTGACTTTCTAGATAAATTTGTAATAATTTATCTTGATGATATTTTGGTTTATAGTAAGTCACGAGAAGATTATGTAAAGCACGTGAGTCAAGTGTTAGAGGTACTTCAAAAAAATTAATTATATGAAAAAATTAATAAGTGTGAGTTTGGAAAAACTAGTGTAGAATTTCTGGGCCATATAGTGTCTTCAAAAGGAATTGCGATAGACCCCAAGAAAATAGTGACAATTAAGGCATGGAATGCATCTCAAAATATACATGAGCTTCGCTCATTTTTAGGAATAGTGAATTATTATCGAAAATTCATAGCTAATAGTTCCAAAATAGCGGTACCTCTTACATGTTTGCTACATAAAAATCAACTAT